GATCCATCGGTGAACTCCACAAAGATCTCCACCCTCGTGGTCATGCATGGTGTCACCACCCAGTCCCCGGCGTACGTGCGAACATCATGCTGAGGCTGCTCCCCTCACTCCCAAGGAGCCTCGAGGTTCTCCCTCCCCCATGAGAATTCTCTCTGCAAAGGATGGATCCTGAAGCCTCCAAGCATTCTGGGCCTTCCCCTCTGCAAATGCTGCTGGGCTGTGAGTTTGTGCCGCTGAGCTCACTGGTGGGTTTTCTACTGCGAGGTTATTAGTCTGATTACCACAGATTAAAATGAACTTGGATGAGAGGCCACATGTTCAATTACAGCCAGCCCTAAGCCAGTGGCTTAAGGGGAATAGCTCTGGTTTGTTTTTTCTTGAGACAGGGTCTCACTCTGCTACCCAGGCAGGAGTGCAGTGGCACAATCATGGCTCACTGCAGCCCTGCAGCCTCCAATTCCTGGGCTCAAGTGATCCTCCAGCTTCCGCCTTCCAAAGCACTGGGATTACAAGCATAAGCCACCATGCCTGGCCCAGTGAATGGTCTTTTAAAAAATACTTTATACACTACATCCAGAGTTACTCAAATTCAGTCAAATGCTGTGCGTAACCATCTGCTAGTAGACACACATCACAGAAGAGTGGTTTCCACGCTCTCAACTGGGGCTACGATAAGTTCATACACTCATCACTGCAAGTTTCCTGAGTCGATACCTACCCCTTAGCCACTCCGAGTCACGCTCCTTTTTATCCAGTATTCTTAATGCTGGCCATGGCCCACTCAATTGATTTGGGTTCAGACCCAAAGTTTGAAAAATAATGCACTCAAATAAGACCAGTGCCAGTTTCTAGGGACTCAGTTCAAGAACATGAGGGCACGTGGCACAAGTGACCAAGGGCCACCACCTAACATGACCTACACCACAAACAGGAGAACCAGAAATTATAAGACAACGGCCAATTATTGCAAACTGTGTTTGCCCACTGACAGCCACAACAACTGTTAGCTGGGAAACAGGGCACCCAGCCTTCTGTGTCAGATTCAGTCTAAAAACAAATAGGGTGTGAACTTTTTGAATCTTAGGGAAGCATTCCAGCACAAAATGCAGACTGGCGGTGGCGACACTCTGCTCAGGGACCCAACCCCAGCTCCCACCGACACAAGAGCTGAGCTCATGTGAGGATAGGCGTTGGCAGTGGTTGTCCGCACCCTGGCCACCACCACCCACGGAGCTTGCAGCGTGCCATGATGACAGTAGGGACCGTGGCCCAATTCCCCCCTGCCGCGTCTTCTGGTGAACGGTGATGGCGTTCTGCCACATTTACGGGAAGTGCATTCACACCAGCAAGGAAATGCCAAGCACGCACCAAGTTCTCCCTCCCGGCTCCACGCAAACACGTTTCTACTTTCAGAAAGATTAAGTTCTGCTTCCAGATAGTTGATGACTTTTCATCTCGAGGGAAAAGGAAAATCACTACAGGCCACAACGGCCTTCTCTCAGACACAGAAGGCAACTGGTTATTAGCGAAAGGTTTGTCAGCGCAGGGCCCTGCTGCGGGCCTCCGTGGGCTTGGCTCAAAACTGCCCCAGGTCGCCTGACAGGACTCCACACCAGCCCACCCGGTCCACACAGGATCTGGACTCGACGACGACAGAACGTGGACACAGACGAGCAGAGGGGAGGTGACCATGGCCAATATCCGCCCCCGCTCCATTCTGCCCAGCTTTCCCAGGTGTTTCACTGCAGCCTCCTCTCCACGTATCCTTCCACAGCTCCCACGTTGTAAGCTGGTAACCTGTGGGTTCCGACTGGAGCACTGCGGCATCCTCCACCACCACTGACCCCCTCCCCAGAGAGACACCTCACGTGGGAGCAGCGAGTCCTAGAGCCTACTCCACCATGGATGGTGACGATCCAAAACGTTTCATCAAATTGGACGGTTCTTGACTGAGTGTAGTCGCGAAAGAGGCAGATCGGCTCTTTCACAACAGGAATCAAGTTCATGTGACCTCACAGTATCTCGGCCCACCATCTGCTGGCAGCTTAGGAGTTAACACTTCCTGCACATTTTAACCAAAGACACTCACAGGCTCCTGTCACGGAGGCCCCGGGGTGCTCCTCTCTGAGACTTATGGCACCCGGGAGAGGGGGCTTCTGGGACGCACTTCACCCCCTGCATGGGGGTCAGGATGGAGGATCGGGGAGAGTGTTTCTCTACTCCTTGAGGATGGAGGCATCCTGTCTTCCAAAGGGGCGGGCAGAGTAGAGTCTTGTACAACAGACAAAGGGGAGTCCCAGGCGAGCCCACCGGGACATGCAGACGCAGAAACCTGAGCTTGCCTACGATTACAACCAAAGCAGGCGGCTCTGCGGCTGGGAAGGCCGTGTACCAATCACTGGCCCCATTCTTCTCCTGCCAGGGCTGATGGGCCCCAGGTGCAGCTGACGAACAAAACAAGCATAGATTTTTCAGAGCAAACTGCAACAGTGCAATTCCACCCAATAATGTTTTCAACTTCCTGAAACTCCTTCCCACAGCCCCCAAAGTTCCGGATGGTTCAGAGCACTTCTGCTGACCAAGCCAAATGATGTCATCCTTTCACCGCCATCACCCGTGTGAAGAGAAAACAGAGATGTTTATCTACCTCAGGCACAGGCAGGGCTTTCCAAAGCTTTCATCTCAGACATTCTCACTGAGACCCTCGAATTCACTTTCCCCCAAAGTCTTTCCTTCCAAATGAGGAAATGTTTAGTTTCTCTAGATTTCAGTGGCTAAACTGGTCCTGTGAGTTACACGGACATTTTCAAGTCAGCCTTGCAACGCCATGTCATGTAAATCACTTAATCGTATAACTGGAGTTTTTGGGATTTGTACAGTATCAATGAAGACAACGAGGAATCCAAAGGCTAACAAGCGTGACGGGAGCTACAAGACCACTGAGGCCCACCACCCAGCACCTGTGCCTGGAGCCCCCAAGCCCCTACTCCTTCACCTCCCTCAAGGCTGAGGGAGGCCCTTCCGTGTGGACCACGGTGCACACATCATCTAGCCACCTGCCTGCAAGAAATTCTAAGCCTCCCTGTCTTTCAAGACCCGGACACTTTTGAGAGGCACTGGCAAGGACTGTGGTGAGCATCCCCCGGTTTGGGTGCAGCATTTTCTCATGAGACTGCATTTCTGGCAACACTGCCAGAGAAGTGATGTGTTTCACTGGGTCCTTGGTGTCAACATCTTATGACTGATGGTGTTACCCTGATCACTTGCTTCACACAATATCTGCTGGGTTTTTCCACCAAGAGGCTACAATTTTATTTCTCCCTTTGTGATGTATATCCTGGGGGAGATACTTTGTGACTATGTAAATATCACAGACAGAAGGACATTAAGTGTGGGGTCCTAGAGGGGATCCCAAAACAGCAAGAGGACACTGGTGCAAAACCGAAGTTCGAATAAGGTCTGTCATTTAGGCAATAATGCTGTGAACTTTCTGGTATTTATATGGATGCCTGGTTACATAAGATGTCAACATTAGGGGAAGCGGATGAAGAGAACAGGAAGCTCAGTGAAATATTTTTTCCATCTTTTCTGTAAAGTCAAAAACTACCTGAAAATTAAAAGCTAACCAAGCTGCAGTCTGATTCTGCATGAGAACTTGGGTGGGGTCTGAAAAGTCTGTGTTTCTCACCAATACCCAAGTGACACATGGATGCTGCTGGCCCCTGGACCACTCTGCTAGCAAGGCTCTGGCAGACAGAAGACAGAGCCCACCTCACTACTCACAGCTTCCCAGTGACAGTCAGCTACCAGGCAGCAAGATCATGCTCCCAGTACGCTCGCCACTGCTTCACTGCAGGCTCTCCTGGAAACCAGCAGGGCAGACCGCCCGCTTGGCACACTGACCCAGCGAGGAGCCAAAGTCAGGGTCTCTGCTACCACACGGGTCTGCCAGGCCTTGCCCAGGTACACTGGCAGCCCTCCAAGGCCACAGGGCCAGAGCCACCAGCCCACGCCGCAATTCGCAGGCGGCTGTGGAACAGTGGCTTGGCACCTCATCCCATCAACTGTGGGCAATGACCAAGGCCACGAGGCAGCGGGAAGGCGGGGTGAATAGAATGGGCTTTCAAACTGCTGCTCAAGGGGAGTGACTGGCCACACAGGTGACGTCCTCCCACCCCATTAGCATCATCTTTAATAGAGTGTTATAAACCCACAAGAACGAACACACTCCTGACAGATGCAGAGAACCCAATCAGGGTAAAGGGAAAGCACCGGGGGCACAGGCGTGGCGCTCCAGGCCTCACAGAGTCCTGCGGACAGGCCAAACCCGCACCTGCCAAGTCGGTCCCGCACAGGAGAGCGAACTCCCCCACGGCCAGCAAAGGGGCTTCCCAAAGAAGCGGAGCAGCCCAGAGAAAGTATCTGCAAGTTGGCGCTCCAGGTCCCACAGTGACAGGCTCCCAATCACCCGAGGGAAAACTGGACTCTTTCAAAAGCACCCCACAGTCCCGGGGCTCTCCGCCAGCCTCCTCCTGCCTCAGACAACAGTAAATATCAGTATTTGAGGAGGACTTGCCATACAAAGCAAGAAGCCAACACTCTTTTTTAAGTGACATTAGTGGAAATAAGAAATCAGAACAAAGAAGAACTGGAAAGAATCCTTATTAGTTTCCCTAGAGTCATGGAGATGAGGCATTTCTAAAACAATAAGCTACTGTGAAAAAGGAACAAGACAAATACATGCTTGGAAATTAAAAATTTGATTGTGAAGACATATTAAAGCCCTCTCCCAGAAATAAGAATAAACAAGACACAGAAGGAAGGATAAAGACGCAACTCCAGGGGTCCATCTAGAACGTCCATCACAAACTAACAGGAACTCCTAAGACAGAAGAGCAGAGCTGGAGAGGAAGAACTTCTCAGACAGAACAAGGCAACTTCCCAGAGCTGAAGGACAAGGCACCAGAGTCAAAGAGTCCCCGGAGTAGGAATCCACACACCTCAGCACACGGTAAAATGTCATTAACACCAAAGAGAGGATCCAAGAGCGTTCAGGGAGGGAGAAGGGTCTCCACGGAGGAACAGCACCTGCCAGAGCGTCCTGTGGAAATGAACAAAGCCAAGATGAAAACATTCCTGAACACACCCAGCCGTAGAAGAAAGGAAAGTATCAGGTTGGCTGGTCTGCAGGCTAAAGAATAACCCATCCAGATGAGAAAAAGGTTAGGGGCTGAAGGAGGAAGGGGACCTGACACTATCCTTGAGATCATTTAAAACAATGTAAGGAGTCGATGGGAACAGAAAGTGCCAAGAGAAAAGCCATGACTAACAGAAAAAAAACATGCTGTACAGGAAGGCAAACACTCAATTTGTCTGTGAAGAGAACAGTATTTACACAGGCCTGACACAGACAGTCCAGGGGATAGAAGAGATGGGATATGACAGAAGGGCTCCATCACCCCATCGTAACAGAAAGTCAAGGCTGTGTAAAACCAAGTAGCAGCTGAGAACCAGGTGCAGTCACTCACACTTGTATTAACGGCTACTAAGGAGGCTGAGGATCACTTGAGCTCATGAGTTCAAGTACAGCCTGGCCAACATCTGGGGATCCTATCTCAGGAAAAAAATGAAAAAGATCAGCTTACTTAGAGCTATGGAGAATGACCTAAAGAAACCACTCAAGATGTAAACCTCTTTGAAGAATGGGGCTGAGAGGTGGGGCAGGGGACCACTGCTTTTCACTGTAAGTCTTTCACTGATGTTCCTATTGTATACATTATATTAATTAAAATACTAAATATACAGGCTTCAAACAGACTGAATTTGAACCCTGGCTCTGTACATCTGAGCAAGTCCCTTAGTGCCTGCCGGCCCGGCCACCTCATCTACAAAGTTGGGGCAGCCTCTGCCTCCCGGGTCATGGTGAAGCACCCGAGATGTTGAGCTGCCCCCACACAGCGTGGAATCACAAATGCACGCTCTTTTTAAAAAAGATTAAAGCCCCAGCCTGGGCAACAAGTGAAACCCCCTCTAAAATACAAAAATACAAAAATTAGCCAGGGGTGGTGGTGTCTGTGGTCCCAGCTACTCGGGAGGCTGCGGTGGGAGGATCACTTGAGCCAGGGAGGCCGAGGCTGCAGTGAGCCAAGATCACCACACTGCATTCCAGCCTCGGGGACAGAGTGAAACCCTATCTCCAAAAAATAAAACTACTAAAGCCAGTGATGACAGAATCCAACACCGCAAGAATATATTCTTATTTTAATTGCCAGACACAGGAAGTGGACCTACATACAGAATTTTACCGCGTTTTGGTGTTTTCTTCTAGCACTGGATATTTGCAAGCTGCGTGTTAAATGACCAGATCCAGTTTTTCTTTGCTATTTCCTGAGTTTACTCAGAACCACTCACTACTCCAAGTTATTTTTCTGTCCCCCAAGAACTTCCAGCTGAAAGTGGCCCCTACGACTGCCTCCTCTTATTATTTACTATAGTTCTGCCATCGCCATCAGGACCTGCAGTACATTCCCGGGCAGAACAGGCAACTCCAAACAGGGCAATTACCTGTTCCACATCAACCACTGTGTGACCCGCGCCCTCCCCGGTCAGGGTGCAAGCTCGCTACCCTTCAAAGCCCACACTCGCTTCACTTGCTCACAGTTCTTCAGGGATGAAGTATTTCTCCAATAGCAAGGCAACCCCTACCATCTCATCAGTGAAAAACATCAGTCCTCTATCAAGGTACTCTCTCCAATTTGCTCACACAGTGTGGATGGAATGTCATCTACTTTCTGCATCCTAGCGGGGGAAAAAAAAAACGGCCACCTTTCTTAAGGACTAGATCACAGAAATCGCACAAACGTGCTGGGGAGGGGACACCCCGAAGTCCTCGTTCATCGGGGCCCCTAGGGGGACGGGCTGGGGTCCTCGCCGGGGTCGGCGGTCGCCCCGGGATCGTCCCTTCCGCTGCCTCGCCAGACTTGCATGTGCGAGTCCCGGGCTATGGGGCTCCAGTCCACAGCCACGGAGGAGGCACAAAAACGGTGCCTGTCGCTCCTGGCTGGCTGGCAGGAGCGACCCCTTGGGAGACTCGGTCCCCAGAGGAGCCCGGGCGCGGTTCTAGGCCTTTCCAGTCTCCCCGCCGTGGCCCCGGGTCCTTCCCGCGGGGCTAGGCCCGGGGCAGAGGTCGGGAGCGCGAGGCCCCCGGGCCGGGCTGGGGCAGCCGCGGCTCAACGGACGCCGCGGCGCGGCGGGGCCGGGGGTGCGGAAGCGAGGAAGCGGAGCCCCTCTTCCGGGGCGCGGCCGGGGACGGGGAGTGGGGCCTGGGGGGCGCTCGCCCGGCCCGGACGGTTGGAGGCGGCGGGGCTGCGGCGCGGGCGGCCCGGCGGGCGGGAGGAGGAGGGAGGAGGGAGATCTCGCTCTCGCTCTCGCCCCGCGGGAAGGGGGAGGCGGAGGCGCGACCGGCTGCGGGAGCTGCAATTACCGTGTGGGCTGCGGAATTCTCGTGGTGTTTGTCGGGGAGCTGCGATAATGGCGTCCGTCCTCGCGAGAGAAGCCGCCGCTCTGCGCAGGCGCCGCGAGCCCCTCCCCGCGACGCTCTGCCCCCGCCCTCCGCGCAGGCTCAACGGGCGCGCGGGGCCGGGGGCGGGGCTGGGGCGAGGCCCCCCTGCGGGCAGCGAGGCCAGCTGCGCGCGCTTTTCCCGCTTGGCCTCCCGGTGAGCATGCGCAGGCAGCCTTCTTCCGCGACGTTACCGGCTTCCCAGGGCTTTTTCCCCCAGTTTTTCGCCCACGCCCGTGGCCTGCCTGAGAAAAATCACCTCAGTGGACGGTGTGAGGAATTTGCATCTTCTTTGAGACGGAATGAATAGGCATTAGCTCCCTCAACGACTACACCTCCCAGGGTGCCCTGCGCAAGCGGGGAGCCATGCATTCGGGGACTCGTAGTCCCTTCGTCTGGGCCATGCCTGCCGGGACTTGTAGTCTCTCCGGACCCCGGTCGTCCGTCCTGTCCCCGCACCAAGGCTTGCTGGGACTTGTAGTTACAATGTCTCAGGTGGGCTGTGCGCCCCCAGCGGGTCCTGCCTGCTGCTGCGGCGGATCCTGCCCTGAGGTTCCGGAGCGCTTGGTGGCGTTTTCCCAGACATAAGTGGTCAGGGGTCCCCAGCGTCTGTCCAGAGGGGCCTGAGTGGACACGCGCGGGAGTTAGCACGCGCAGCAGTGACCATGGTCTTAGATATGTCCTACAGGTAACACGTAATATAAATAAGTGATGGCGGCCGGGCACGGTGGCTCACGCCAGTAATCCCAGCCCTTTGGGAGGCCGAGGCGGGCGGATCACCTGAGGTAGAGGTTCGAGACCAGCCTGGCCAACATGGCGAAACCCCCCCTCTCTACTAAAAATACAAAAATTATGCCTGGTCTGGTGGCGCGCACCTTGTAATCCCAACTACTCAGGAGGCTGAGGCAGGAGAATCGCTTGAGCCCGGGAGTCGGAGGTTGCCGTGAGCCGAGATCGCGCCCCTGCACTCCAGTCTGGCGACGGAGCAAGACTCTGTCTCAAAAAAAAAAAAAAAAAAAAAGAAAGTGATGGCGTGAATGTGCACACGTTATCATTTATGTAGAATAAATGTGCATTTGTGGGTAATCATCGGAAAAAATTCCCAAACTATAGGGCAATTCCCAGAAATGTCATTTCTGGTTATCTCCCGCTGCTTATCTAGAATTACCTTGCCTTTCATTTTCTTCTTTATACTCCTTCTGTTTTCTGAATTATTTGCAATGAGCAAGAATGCCTTTGATCTCCCGAACACGGGGCAAGGGAGCTATTTTCACTGGGAAAAACAAAATGCTGTACCTTGAATTTGCTGCCCAGCTCCCTTTTGCCAATAATAAAAACAGGATTCGGCGCAGTCATGGGCTCTGCGACCTTGGGCAACCTTACTGAGTTAGTCTCCTCTAGAATTAGGCTCAGAGGTTCCCCTGAGGCCGGTGGCTGGGTTACTTCGCAGTAAAAATGACTTACAAACACTCCAAGGAGGAGCCTTGACAGAATGGCAGCACTGGGACAGGTGTCGATCTGAAGATGGGACTTGTCCTTTTTCAACATGAAGATTGGCTCCAAAGAGATTAGAAAAATTGCCCAGCGAGGCCACAGGGCTGGAGAGAGGCACAAGCCGAGTTTGCAATACAGAACACCTTGCTTAGAGTGTGGAGTCCACTCACATGGAGGGAAAGGGTGCATGCGGGAGCTGCCACGGAATATTCCCTCCAGCAGTGGAGACATGTTCTAGGCAGACACGCCTTTTGTCTCCACCTCCACCTCAATCACGGCTGCATTCAAATATTAATACTTGACCATGTAAGAATTCTTAGCATCCATGCCTGAATATCTGGCTTGAAAACAGACCAACTTAGGGTGATGTTGTTCATGTTATTTCACAACATCCCCGAGTCCGTGTCTGGAGCTTCCTTTTCCCTATCCGCAGGCCTTGTGCAATGCTGGGCCCAGCGTCATGAACAGGTGTGAGTGGACGAGAGAAGGAACCTGTGGGCAAAGGTGAATCTATCTGTGACCATCCAACAAGCTACAGTGAGATTTGTTGAAGGCCACTGCTGACTAGGTCATGATCAGAAATGAAGCCAATCAAAACAAGATTGTGCCTATGCTGCAGTTGTTGATTGTTTTGTTTTGTTTTGTTTTGTTTTGTTTTGTTTGCATCAGGGTCTTGCTCTGTCATCCAGGCTGGAGTGTAGTGGTGCAATCATAGTTCACTGCAGCCTCCACCTCTCCGGCTTAAGTGAGCTTCCCATCTGAGCCTCCGGAGTAGCCGGGACTACAGGCACGTACCACCATCATTGCCTAATTTTTTTGTTTTTTGTAGAGTTAGAGGTCTCAATACGTTGTCCAGGCTGAACTCCTGGACTCAAGCGATCCTCCTGCTTTAGCCTCCCAAAATGTTAGGGTTACAGGCATGAACTACTACACTTTTTTGTTTTTGATGGTTTTAATTTAGTTTTTATTTTGCTGCTCTGGAAGCTAAAATAGAGGAAGACACTGTTCAATATTGGCATGTAGTTGATTCACTGTAATTTTTTTTAAATGAAGTAGCTAGTCATCAGCAAAGACCGCTGTCTATAGTGAAGGTTCACTTACTCGCCAGTCGTTACAAGGATCCGATCTGGTCCCCTGGAGTTAATGAAGTTACAGTCACATTAGTGAGGGCGTTATAAGAGGAGCGGGAAGTTCGCTCTGGCCTGTGTGGCACCAGATATGGGGGCCACTTAACATGTGTGTGCACTAGGCCATTCGTAAAGGTCACAGAGGTCCTTTCGTCAACACCTCGAAACGCCCACGTCAAGAAAACCCTGAAACCTTCCGACGGTTCCTCTCTCTGAAAATGTCACCAGGGTGGAGAAAGAGAAATTATCCACGTTGCACTCAGCGGCCCAGGAAAAGCCTAGGAGGCCGAGTGGGATGCTGGAACGCTGAGCCTGGCCGCCCTTAAGTGCGAGGACTTGCAGTTTGCCCGGCCAGGGCTTAGAGTCTGAGCCTTCCCTTGGCAAGTTGCTGAGGCTCTCAGGCCTCGGCTTCCCACTCTGGGAACTGGTGTTCAGAACTCACAGCTCACAGGGATATTGGGAGGGGTCCATGGCATGGAGGTGACGAAGCGTTTAGTAGAGGGTCTGATCCCAGATGTGCTCATGTTACCACGGGCTGAGTGGCCACGAGCCGGGCACATTTCACTGTAATCCCTATTCTTTGTGAAGAACAGGAAGATAAGAGTGGTTGAGTGATACACCTGGGGTCACACAGCCGTCGTGGGGGTAGAGACGAGAGGAGGCAGGTGCTGAGATGCGGCAGCAAAGGTAGTGAAGGTGCAACCGCGTCCTCGTCAGCGAGGAAGGGGTGTCGTCTTGCTCCTGCGGCAACCGGGAAGACTTCACAAAGTTTGGGGCCAGAGTGGGTAGGATCAGATTTGTGTTTTGAAAAGTCCATCTGGCCGGGCGCGGTGGCTCAAGCCTGTAATCCCAGCACTTTGGGAGGCCGAGACGGGCGGATCACGAGGTCAGGAGATCGAGACCATCCTGGCTAACACGGTGAAACCCCGTCTCTACTAAAAATACAAAAAACTAGCCGGGCGAGGTGGGCGCCTGTAGTCCCAGCTACTCGGGAGGCTGAGGCAGGAGAATGGCGTGAACCCGGGAGGCGGAGCTTGCAGTGAGCTGAGATCCGGCCACTGCACTCCAGCCCGGGCTACAGAGCAAGACTCCGTCTCAAAAAAAAAAAAAGAAAAGTCCATCTGGCGGCCAGGCGCGGTGGCTCACACCTGTGATCCTAGCACTTTGGGAGGCCGAGGCGGGCAGATCACCTGAGGTCGGGAGTACGCAACCAGCCCAACCAACATGGTGACACCCCGTCTCTACTAAACATGCAAAATTAGCTGAGTGTGGTGGCGCATGGCTGTCATCCCAGCTACTCGGGAGGCTGAGGCAGGAGAATCGCTTGAACCCGGGAGGTGGAGGTTGCGGTGAGCCAAGATCCCACCACTGCACTCCAGCCTGGGCAACGAGAGCGAGACTCTGTCTCAAAAAAAGAAAAGAAAAGCGCGTGTGGCTGGAGCGCTGGAAGAGGAGTGCGGGGAGGGAATATATTATCCTGCGTGGATTTGGGGAGAGCAGTGGAGAACGCTGTGGCAGGCTCCAAGTAAGAGCCGGAAAGAGACAGGGGCTCGCTGCAGGGGGTTGCAGTGCGGACGGGATGAAGAGAAATGGACAGATTGGAGAGGTTCCACAGGGTGAAATCCACAGGACTTGCCCATGAGCCCAGTGCTGGGGACGGCCAAAGGAGAGGGGGTGCCCAGGTGCCATACTGGACGGTGGACGCACAGCTCCTGGAGGTGAGAGACCAGACGTCAGGGCCACCGCCCATGGTCGTGGGGACTGTCCCTGAAAACACATCTTTGCAATTGTTCCTCGTGGGGGGCTCCTTCTGTAATTCGTCCTCCACTCTCCCCGTCCCCCCCCCCCCCACTTTACCACTTCATGCAGGGGCACCGTAAGGGTTTGAAGGTCTCACTGGAAGAGGTCAGCTTTGGGGTGAACTGGAGCCCTGAAAGGAGACCCCACTGGGAAACATGATGATCCAGGGGTGACAGGAGGGGGTGGCCATCAGCACCACTCAGCCCCACCTGGCATGGATCCCACCTGCTCCAGGGACAGGCCACACACTCTGGGCTGTCGAGAGAGACCAGGACCCTACCCAGTCACTGCTGTGTGGATACGGTGCCCTCTGAAACTTGGGAAACAACCTAAGCTTCCTGTACCTTCCTCCCTTGTAAAGTGGGTCAGCGAGGCTCAAATATGGGGGCCACTTACCTGTGTGTGCGCTAGGCCATTTGTAAAGGTCACAGAGGCCCTTACTGTCTGCGTAGTAACATGCATTTGAGAGAGAGAGAGAGAGACTGGCCTTGCTTCGGCCTAGCACTTTGACTGATTTGTTTTGTCCAGACAAACATACGGCCAAGCAGCCTTCATGGTCGGTTCTCAATCTGGGCTGATATGAGACCCTCTGAAAACACCCAAGCCTGCCCCTCCAGGACTGGGGCCAGGTTCACCGGCTCCAGAAACCCCCAGGAGTCCACTGCACAGACTCCCTCATCTCTGTCTCTGACTCTCTCTCTCTGATTCTCTCTCCACCCCGCCCTTCCCATCTTTGGGCTTGGTTTTTCCCCATTTTTTTTTAGGCGGAGTCTCGCTGTGTCACCCAGGCTGGAGTACAGTGGCGCGATCTCGGCTCACTGCCACCTCCGCCTCCCAGGTTCAAGCGATTCTCCTTCCTCAGCCTCCCGAGTTGCTGGGATTACAGGCGCCTGCCACCAAGTCTGGCTATCATTTTTGTATTTTTTTAGCAGAGACGGGGTTTCACCACATTGGCCAGGCTGGTCTCGAACTCCTGGGCTCAAGTGATTCTCCCACCTCGGCATCCCAAAGTGCCGGGATTATAGGCGTGAACCACCTTGCCTGGCTAGTTTTTCTCCATTCTTGAGCAGGATCTCGCGAAGGGGTCCCAGCAACTACAGACAGGTTTTTCCAGTTCAGCCATTCCCTGGGAGAGGGAGGACCTCTTTCCTCATCGTTCCAGCAAGACTCCCGGGGCGGCGCTTAACTGGCCAGCCTGTGGACCCGGCGATGACCATCACTCCGAGTGGCCAGTCCTGAGACACGTCCGGGGGAAGGATCAGCCTGGTCCAGCCTCGTGGAGGGCGGGTGGGGAGGGCTGGTCTCCCAGAGCAAACCCAGCAGCTGCCAGGGAGAAGAGCTGGGTGTGTGCAAGCAGAAACAGCATCGGTCGCCAGCGGGGTCCCCCAGGGCTCTCCTCTTGCCCGCGTGAATGCTGACGTCAGCACCGACGTTCTGTCGGGCGGCAGCTCTGTCCTCCTGTCTGAGAATGGGAGCAGCCGTTGATGCGAACTCCCCAGGAGAGGCTGCGTATGGTGCAATTAATCCAGGTCGCCCAAGCCAGACAGCTGATTAGCATCTCAACAGGGGCTACTGGGCGTTCGAGCCCTTATTAATGAGAAGTTGCTGCTATGAAGCAGGTGGGGGAAACAGGTGTACAAATCCATGCAATCAGTAAAAACCCATAAAAAATCCAGTGGCAGTGACAGTAGCCCAGAGTGCCAGGGAGCCCTTGGTTTTTCAACTCGCTGTCTTCCAGGCTCTGTCGGTGGTCGGCATGGCCCGTGGAAATCAACGAGAACTTGCCCGCCAGAAAACACGAAGAAAACCCAGGAAATTAGCAAGGGAAGAAGAAAAGAGGATAGCTTGACCACCTCTCAGAGAAAGCAGGGGGACTCTGAAATCATGCAACAAAACAGAAGACAGCTAATGAGAAATCCATGCAGACAAGAGAAAAGTGATAACTGGCTATTTGGAAAACCTGGGTGCTCCTGCCTGCTGGGTGTATCGTAAGCCCTAAGAGGAAGATTTTGTAGAGTGAACAGTCATTACATATAACTTATCCTTTAAAAAGATTTTAAACTTTACCTTTCAGATTGACTTAGTGCCATGTTTTAGAAGCATTCTTCAAGGAATAAAACACAAACCATGAAGAAAAAAAAAAAAGCCCAGTGGCTCAGCAAAAGAAATTACTGTGAACAAAACTTGTGCAGAAACTTTCGTGTGTTTTCAAGGATTTTGTCCAATGCAAGTTTTTCCTATTTGATTTTTTCACCTAAAATAGCATTTTTTCATGGACAGTGTATCATTTTGAGATCATGGAGTACTGTGGAGAGCAATCAGTGCATTTATAAATGACTTTCAATTTCTGGCTGGGCGCAGTGGCTCACGCCTATAATCCCAGCACTTTGGGAGGCCGAGGCGGGCAGGTCACCTGAGGTCGGGAGTTCACGACCAGACTGACCAACATGGAGAAACCCTGTCTCTACTGAAAATATAAAATTAGCCAGGCGTGGTGGCTCATGCCTGTAATCCCAGCTACTCGGGAGGCTGAGGCAGGAGAATCACTTGAACCCAGGAGAAGGAGGTTGCAGTGAGCCGAGATCGCACCACTGTACTCTAGCCTGGGCAACAAGAGCTAAATTCTGTCTCAAAAGAAAAAAAAAAAAGAAAAAAAAAGAAATGACTTTCAATTTCTATCACATGAGAATAAAGCCCTATTTCAAAAAGTGATGCAGAGAAATTTGAGGGTTCTCAGAGAATGGTGGGCTCCAGGCTTCTCTCACTCACTCCAGTAAAAAGCTTTTCACACACACTTGCCATGAACATGCATATATGTAAATTTATATCTGTGTGTTACGTACTAATGTAGTGTGTGCTCTACGGAACATATGAAAAATAGAAAATCTTAACAGGTGAGAAAAAAATAGGAATAGAAATTTCAATCTTCTGCACGTGGAAGGGTTATCCAGGTTCACAGGGTCCATTTTAGAAAAAATCAGTTAAAGAAGGTTTGACTTAAACATTTTGGGTTCAAATATGAAGAATGTCTGTAAACAGACAGAAAGGAGCAGTTTCCTGATCTCCTACCTTCTAATTTAAGAAATGAAGGCCGGGCGCGGTGGCTCACGCCTGTAATCCCAGCACTTTGGGAGACCGAGGCAGGCGGATCACGAGGTCAGGAGATCGAGACCATCCTGGCTAACACGGTAAAACCCCGTCACTACCAAAAAATACAAAAAACCAGCCGGGTGAGGTGGCGGCGCCTGTAGGCCCAGCTACTCGGGAGGCTGAGGCAGGAGAATGGCGGGAACCCGGGAGGCGGAGCTTGCAGTGAGCTGAGATCCGGCCACTGCGCTCCAGCCTGGGCAACAGAGCAAGACTCCGTCTCAAAAAAAAAAAAAAAAAAGGATGAATGAAATTGCACCTATTTTGTGGCAAGCAAGTGCTCTGTGACTTCAGGTGCCCTGGTGGGTGGACAGAAGCTGACTCCTCCCCCAACCCGTCCACCCAGTAACACTTTGGCCAGTCCCATCCCTGTACGTCTGAGCCTGCCAGTCCCTCCTCACGTGCACACCATGGCTTTGTGTCTGCTATTGAGTGTCCCGGAGCCCCAAACCACAGGGTCAACACCACCAAAGAAACAGGGACTCTGCTCTCATCTGCTCGCCCCTGCCCCCCGCGTAATCCCCTGGTGCTCACACAGCCCCACCGTAAAGTTTTTCTAGCTCCCTGGCAGACTTGTGCCGCTGTTTGCCAGATCAAAGCCCAGTGACCTGAGTGGCCTGTCCCCAGCAGAGGCCACTTGTCCCTGTGGACCCATCCCGTTGGGAAAGGCATGGGTTGAACTTTAACCATTAGGCTCAGGGGTTGGGATGAGTTTCTACAAAAAGAGGTGGGTACATGCCAGTCCACAGTGGTCCTGATCAAAGTGAGGACAGCAGGGAACATCACCCTCTTCAGATTGGAGTCAGTGGGAACAGACCCAAGATGTCAGGGAGGAACGCTTGGAAGACCTCAGCTTTCTCCTTGGTGGAGCGGATGTGGGCCCCCCTCTGGAGCCGTCCAACAAGGCCAGAGCGATGGTGTTCTCAGCATTCCTGTGCACGGCAAACCAGCACTAACACTTGTAAGTAGAGCCTCAAATTTCCCAAGATGCAACTGGATCCTTGTCTTAGCTGATGGGGTCTTTCGAGACGGGAGAGGAGAGACCGTCCAAGCCAGATAGGTTCAGATTTCCACTCTGTTTCTTTTTTTTTTTTTTCTTTTTTCTTTTTTTTTTTTTTGAGACAGAGTCTTGCTCTGTGGCCCAGGCTGGAGTGTAGTGGCATAATCTCAGCTCACTGCAACCTCCCCCTCCCGGCTTCAAGCAATTATCCTGCCTCAGCCTCCTGAGTAGCTGGGACTACAGGCGCCCGGCACCACGCCCGGCTAATTTTTTGTATTTTTCATGGAGATGGGGTTTCACCATGTTAGCCAGGGTGGTCTCAAACCCCTGACCTCGTGATCCGCCTGTCTCGGCCTCCCAAAGTGCTGGGATTACAGGCTTGAGCCACCGCGCCCAGCCCTCTTTTTTCTTTTTTTGATGAAGTTTTGCTCTTTTGCCCAGGCTGGAGTGCAATGTCACGATCTCGACTCACTGCAACCTCTGCCCCCAGATTCAAGTGGTTCTCCTGCCTCAGCCTCCCAAGTAACTGGGACTACAGGCACCCGCCACCGCACCCGGCTAATTTTTTGTATTTTGGTAGAGACAGGGTTTCACCATGTTGGCCAGGCTGGTCTCGAACTCCTGACCTCAGGTGATCCACCCACCTCGGCCTCCCAAAGTGCTAGGATTGCAAGCATGAGCCACTGTGCCCGACCACACTCTGTTTCTCTTGTATTTGGTGACCTTGGGTGAATCATTTAGCCTCCGTTTCAGGGATCCTGGGGAGGGTGAGATGCTGGGAGCAGGCGGGTAGTCCGTGTTCCCACAGGACATACTGGCATGACTCACCATCCAGACCCGGCGGAATGGTCTGCGCTAACCAGTCACGATCACTCCTAAACTTTTCGGCAAAGAATGCTTTCAAGCAAACCTGTAACAAATAAACCACTCAGCCAGCTGTGCCAAGAAACTGCCCCGTGCCAGCCCCTCCTGGCTGCATGGTCAGTCCCTTGTGGCCTTGGACGAGGCCCTTCCTCTTTCTGGGTCTCAGGTGCTTCCTCTGCAGAATGAGAGCCTGCTTTGGCAGCTGCCAAGTTCTCTTCTAACTCAGATCTTCCACACGTTCCGTGTTTGGGCCATCCAAAGAGGATGGGCTTAGGAGCCGGACCCCAGGCATGCGGTGCTACTGACGCTGGCCGAGGTGGAACCTCGGCAAGCCTTCACCCCCGAGCCTCCATGTCCTCATCTCGAGATGGGGGTGGCCAGACTTTCCAGGGCCATGGAAGGATGACATGATGCATGTAGAAAGCCTGGCCCGCTCCAGATTCTCAGTGAGCTGCACTCATTCCCTCTGTTGGGGTCCACACCTGTGGACTGGAGTGCAGTGGTGCATTTCGGCTCACTGTGGCCTCTGCCTCCTGGGTTCAAGCGATCCTCTTGACTCACCCTCCCAAGTAGCTGGGACTACAGGTGTGCACCACCACTCCCAACTAATTTTTGTATTTTTAGTAGAGATGGGATTTCACCATGTCAGCCGGGCTAGTCTCAAACTCCTGACCTCAAGTGATCTACCTGCCTTGGCCTCCCAAAGTGCTGGGATTACAGGCATGAGCCACCACGCCCGCCCCCGTCTTTTATTCTTAATGACTGTTAAGAGTGCTAGGCTGCCTAGATTGGAATCTTGACCCCACTGCCCTACGGCTGTTGCCCCTCTGTGACTTTTCCTTTTTTTTTTTTTTTTTTTTTTGAGACTAATTTCAGGCTTGTTGCCCAGGCTGGAGTGCAATGGTGCGATCTCCAGCTCACTGCAACCTCCGCCTCCTGGGTCCAAGCGATTCTCCTGCCTCAGCCTCCCAAGTAGCTGGGATTACAGGCATGTGCCACCACACCTGGCTAATTTTGTATTTTTAGTAGAGACAGGGTTTCTCCATGTTGGTCAGGGTGGTCTTGAACTCCCAGCCTCAGGTGATCCACCTGCCTTGACCTCCCAAAGTGCTGGGATTGCAGGCGTGAGCCACCGTGCCTGGCTGTCCCCTCTGTGACTTCTTAACTTCCCCCAGCCTTGGTTTTGTTGTCTGTAACAGGGGTTTGATAATGGTGCTCACTGCACAGTGTCGTTGGGAGAAGGGTCCAAGGTGGGACCTGCAAAGGCTGGGGACAGCACATGGCTCCAGGAAGCCCTCGCTAGATGCCAGCTGCTGCTGTTGCTAACAAAGGCAGAGGTGGGCGCCGTGTGTCTATTTAAGCATTGCCCTGTCAGTGGGTAGCAGGTAGCATCCCATTTCTTACTATGGCAACATGTCCTCTTACATCTTGTGCTAGAGAGAGTCATATTCTGTATTAGCACCTAAATCCATTTACCCCGTGGTCCTCAATCTGTTCCCAGTGAACACAGGGCTCTGCCAAATCATTTCAGAGTTCCACAAAGAGCAGAGTATTCTGCCAAGCGGGGAAGATTGGAACATCGCAAGGAATTCATCCTTCTATGTTGCTATCTTATTTATGGGCATTCTGAAGGTTATTTCATTTGGGAAAAGAATATTGCTACTAAAAATGATTGAAAAATCACTGGTGGTTTGGCCTTGAGAGAAAAGTCAAAGAGTTACGAAACGTTCAGTGATAATTTTAGAATCAGGCATGGGGGCTCACGCCTGTAATCCCAGCACTACTTTGGGAGGCTGATGTGGGAGGATGGCTCAAGGCCAGGAGATCAAGATCAGCAAGAACAAAGGCAAAACAGCAAGAACCCATCTCTTTAAAAAAAAAAAAAAAATTTAAAAATTAACTGGACATGGTGGCACTCACCTGTCATCCCAGCTACTCGGGAGGCTGAGGTAGGAGGATCACTGATCCCAGGAATTGGAGGCTGCAGTGAGTCCTGATCAGGCCACTGCACTCCAGCCTGGGTTACACACCAAGACCCTAAGAAAAAAAAATAATAATTTTAAGGATCATTTAATCATGTTTTCCAGTCACGTTTCAGGGTGTGCACTGGCAGTGCCCATCTATTCCTAAGTGTGTGATCAGCAATATTACACTGGTAACTTTAAATTGGCCATGGTGAAAGTATTTACACCACAGTAATTGGCAAACACTAGAAATCAAAGATTCTAATTTCCTGGGAGAATGGCTTATTAAACCCCAACCAGCACACTGCTGCACATTCTTGGACATTTTACTGGGTATTTCCTGCTTAGGTGTGTGTAAGTCTTCTTGGGTTTGGCTCCCCCCGGCTGAGTGTGGCTGGTCTGGGCTCCCCACTCTGGGTGGATCCAGGCCTGCTCGCTGCATCTCTCATCCTCCCTCCGCAGCCACCTGAGGCCTGTTCTTCTCACAGCGGAGGGCGGGCACTCACAGGGCGAGGCCAGTGGTGCCCGTGTATTCCAAGCTACTGCTCACGTCACGTCTGCTCATGTCCTGGTGGTCAAAGCAGGTCACCAGGTGGCCAAGCCTAGTGACAACAGGGGAGGGGATGGCTCCTCCCATGGAGGTTAAGGGGGAAGGAATTGGAGATTTGCTGAACCATTGTCAAACCTGGAGACTGAGAATGCATCGGGGAGAGAGGGTCTCCTTCCGGGCTGCCCCCATGTGAATTAGGAGCAAACACTGGTCCCCTGGGTCTTTGATTCCATGTTCCCAGCACCTGGGCCAGGGCTTGACCCATAGGAGCACCTCTGTAAATATTCGTTGACTGATTGAAAAAGAGGATAACGTTTGTATTACCTCCCATCGGAGCCCTAGTTGCATTAGCATAGAACCCAGGTTGCTGTGCACCGGGATCGGCTGTGCGGAGATTGGAAGCCGATTCAGCATTCAGGTGGCGTCGCCTCCATGCAGGTGGCAATGACCGCCATCCCTTTGTTGGGTGACACACACAGAGTTCAACGCGGGTGTTTCATTGTTGGTGGGCCCGTTGGTGCAGCTCAGCAAACAGAACCTAAAAATACCCGCTCTTCCCGCGTCCTGCGTCTCTGTGAGCCGGGGAAGCCTGCGTCTCCTGCCTAGATGAGCGTCTCCTCTGTGGCCTCCGTGGCTTTTGGGTTCTGTCTACACTCAGGTCTGTGCCACTGTGTTAAACGCCCCTTGCCCAGCAGGGAGGAACGGAGGCAGCGGCCGTGGGACGGTGGTAGAGTGCGCTGCATCCTGCTTCCCGTTGGATGCAAGGGAGATTTGTGAGGCGTCAAAGGGGCTTTTTTTTATTTATTTATTTTTTTTAGATGGAGTCTCCCTCTTGTTGCTCAGGCTGGGGTGCAATAGCGCAATCTCGACTCACTGCAACCTCCACCTCCTGGGTTCAAGGGATTCTCCTGCCTCAGCCTCCCAAGTAACTGAGTAGCTGGGATTACAGGCGTGCACCACCACACCCGGCCTCTCCAAAGAGGGGCTCTTAGGAGAGAGCCCGCCGGCTCCCGCGTCCGTAGTCGTCCATCACGTGAGAGAGAACAGAACGCATCTGCAGGACGCTCCAGGGCCCACCGTTTCCGGGCGCCAGCTTAGTCCCGGCTTTCGAGCACTTAGCGAGTTACGTGTGTGACCGGGCTGTAAAGCAGGGGCAGGAAAATGCATCTTCCCTGTCTATAACACGTGGGAAGGCATTCCAGGCCTTCCCCGGTGCCAGCGAGCTTATCTTCTCAGCAAAGCTGCTGTGATTCTACTCCCTTATTCTCCTTCCTGCAGATGAAGAAACTGAGACTGGGGGAAGGTGGTGAATAACATGCCAGGTAATTGGGAGAGTGAGTGGGGAGAGCCGGAGTTTTGGCCCACAGATGTGTCTTCCCCACTGCACAATGAGTAAAACTTTAAAAATTACTTGGCAAGGCCAGGTGCAGTGGCTTATGCCTGTAATCCCAGCACTTTGGGAGGGAGGCTGAGGCAGGTGGATCACCTGAAGTCAGGAGTTCTAGACCAGCCTGGCCAACATGGTGAAACCCCGTCTTTACTAAAAATACAAAAATTAGCCAGGCGTGGTGGCAGGCGCCTGTAATCCCAGCACTTTGGGAGGCCGAGGCGGGCGGATCATGAGGTCAGGATATTGAGACTGTCTTAGCCAACGTGGTGAAACCCCGTCTCTACTAAAAGTACAAAAATTCCCCAGACATGGTAGTGCGTGCCTGTAACCCCAGCTACTTGGGAGGCTGAGGTAGGAGAATCACTTGAACCAGGGTTTCACAGTGTTAGCCAAGATGGTCTCGATCTCCTGAACTCGTGATCCTCCCACCTCGGCCTCCCAAAGTGCTGAGATTACAGGCGTGAGCCACCACGCCCAGCACTTTTTAACTTAAACATGTATTATACATTCTACTGACCTCTGATGGTTTACTTATTAAATAACAGTTTAAAAATTTTTCAAGTTCATTAAAGAACAAAACACAGCAATGTGCTAACCATTCGACTCGGCTGGAGAAGCATTTCCAACAGGGCTATACATCCTTTTTTTTTTTTTTTTGAGACTGAATTTGCTTTTGTCATCCAGCCTGGAGTGCAATGGCACCATCTCTGCTCGCTGCAATCTCCGCCTCCCAGGTTCAAGTCATTCTCCTGCCTCAGCCTCCCAGGTAGCTGGGATTACAGGCATGAGCCACTGCACCTGGCTAATTTTTGCATTACTAGTAGAGACAGGGTTTTAGCATGTTGGCCAAGTTGGTCTCAAACTCCTGACCTCAGGTGATCCACCCACCTCGGCTTCCCAAAGTACTAGGATTATAGGCGTGAGCCACCACGCCTAGCCAGAGCTATCCATCTTTATCCTTGTTTTCTAGACTTCTGCTGGGCACACCCTTTGACCCAACAATTCTGTGGTTAGGAGTTTGTAAGAAGAAAATAATTCAGACGGCCGGCGTGGTGGCTCAAGCCTGTAATCCCAGCACTTTGGGAGGCCAAGACAGGAGGATCACAAGGTCAGGAGATCGAGACCATCCTGGCTAACCCGGTGAAACCCCGTCTCTACCAAAAAATACAAAAAACTAGCTGGGCGAGGCGGTAGGCGCCTGTACTCCCAGCTACTCAGGAGCCTGAGGCAGGAGAATGGCGTGAACCCGGTAGGCGGAGCTTGCAGTGAGTTGAGATCTGGCCACTGCACTCCAGCCTGGGCGACAGAGCCAGACTCCGTTTCAAAAAAAAAAAAAAAGAAGAAGAAAATAATTCAGATGAGAATACAGAGAAAGAACAGCAACTTTGTCACAGCTTTAACTGCAAGAAGTTGGAAATAACCTAAATATCATCACCAAATAATGGATTTTAAACATTGTGTCATAATTGTACAATGTAAATGTATCGCCATTAAAAAGATTTGTATATATATTTTTTATTGACAAAATGAGTTCACAATGTTAAATGAAAAAAGGCAATTTACAAGATAATATACACAGTAAAAACCTTGTTCATTAAAATAAAAAATCCTCGCCTGGTGTGGTGGTACACACCTCTAATCCCAGCACTTTGGGAGATGCCTGACTCACTTTGGGAGAGGCAGGAGAATCGCTTGAGGCCAGGAGTTTGAGACCAGCCTGGGCAACATAGTGGGACCTTGTCTCTACAAAAAATAAAAAAGTTAGCCAGGCATGGTGGTGTTTACCTGTAGTCCCAGCTGCTCGGGAGGCTGAGGTGGGAGGATCACTTCAGCCTAGGTGTTGGAGGCTGTGGTGACTGGCACCACTGCACTCCAGCCTGGGCAGCACAGTGAAACCTGATCTCAAAAAAAGACTATTCCAGGGCCGGGCGCGGTGGCTCAAGCCTATATTCCCAGCACTTTGGGAGGCCGAGATGGGCGGATCACGAAGTCAGGAGATCAAGACCATCCTGGCTAACCCGGTGAAACCCCATCTCTAGTAAAAAATACAAAAAACTAGCCAGGCGTGGTGGTGCGCGCCTGTAGTCCCAGCTACTTGGGAGGCTGAGGCAGGAGAATGGCGTAAACCCGGGAGGCGGAGCTTGCAGTGAGCCGAGATCCGGCCACTGCACTCCAGGCTGGGCGACACAGCGAGACTCCATCTCAAAAAAAAAAAAAAAAGGCCGGGCGCAGTGGCGCAAGCCTGTAATCCCAGCACTTTGGGAGGCCGAGACGGGCGGATCACGAGGTCAGGAGATCGAGACCATCCTGGCTAACACAGTGAAACCCCGTCTCTACTAAAAAATACAAAAAACTAGCCGGGCGAGGTGGCGGCCCTGTAGTCCCAGCTACTCGGGAGGCTGAGGCAGGAGAATGGTGTGAACCCGGGGGGCGGAGCTTGCAGTGAGCCGAGATCGCGCCACTGCACTCCAACCTGGGCGACAGAGCGAGACTCCGTCTCCAAAAAAAAAAAAAAAAAAAAAAAAAATTATTCCATTTAATCCCCTTTAAGAACCTGAGCTGGTTTAGCTCAGGCCTGTGAAGGTGAGGACAGGAGCCACAGGGCACGCCAGGCCTCTGGGGTGACGTCCCCAGACAAGGGGACTCTGTAGACTCTGTATTTGGAAGCTGCTCTCAGGTTTCGAGAGCAGGATATCCCAAGGAGCCTTCAGACCCTGTCTCTTAAGGAAAAAAAAAAAAGAAAAATCCAGCTGTCTTCGAATAAGGCTATTGCACAGAGAATAGGCGGGGCAGACACACACCGTGGGGTGCAATCATGGAGAGCTGCTGCTTCACGCATAAACTTTTCTGCTTTTTTTTTTGGAGACAGAGTTTCTGTCACCCAGGCTAGAGTGCAGTGGTGTGATCTCGGCTCACTGCAACCTCCACCTGGGTTCAAGCTGTTCTCCTGCCTCAGCCTCCCAAGTAGCTGGAATTACAGGCACCCACCACCACGCCCAGCTAATTTTATATTTTCAGTAAAGATGGGGTTTCACCATGTTGGTCAGGCTGGTTTCAAACTCCTGACCTCAGATGGCCCGCCCACCTCACCTCCCAAAGTGGTGGGATTACAGGCGTGTGCCACTGTTCCTCGCCTCTCAACTGTTTTTGATTAGTGGCTCTTACTTTAAAAAGGACAATCGAAGCAGTTTGCAACGAGCCTCGAGGAACTGGGCAGAGGGGCTGCCACTCTGCTGAATTTTCTCCCCGCTGAGGTTTCATTTCCTCCTTGCCAGAGGGCTTGGAGGGTGAGACTTCCAAAGCAGCTCCAGTTTCCATAGGACCCATTAGGTGGGATTCCTGTGAGGAGGAAGGGAGGTTTCAAACCCTTCCGGAGAGACAAGAGCCCCACAGCACTCAGCCTGCCTTCCGGACAGGGCCCTCCTCCGTCCACCTGCCCTCCCCAAGGTCTCTCCGTACTTCTCCTGGCCACTCTGTGACGACAGCAACACAGAAGTCAAAAACCCATCAACGCAGGCGGCACAGGCTGAGAGGGAGTTGCTTCCGGGTGGGAAAGAGAGTCCCCAGGTGGTGCGGAAAAGAGAGGAGAAGGCGAACACCCTGTGGGCGCATGTCCAGCTGCCCAGGGGCCCCCACGTGCCAGTTTCCCGTGAACCGAGACCTGTGGGGTCTCGTGCGGCCGGGTTTCTGCCCTGTCCGTCCAAAACACAGGATGAAGCTGATGCCTCACTCAGGGTCTCCTTCTCTCTCCCCGCAGTGCACCCACTCTGGACGGGCCCAGTCTCTGTGCCAGGGGGCACCCGGCAGTCTCCCATCAACATCCAGTGGAGGGACAGCATCTACGACTCCCGGCTAAAGCCACTCAGGGTCTCCTATGACGCAGTATCCTGCCTGTACGTCTGGAACACTGGCTACCTCTTCCAGGTGGAATTTGACGATGTCACCGAGGCATCAGGCAAGTGCCAGCTGGGGCTCGAGGGCTTTCTCCTCTCCCGTTGTTCTGGGAGCAGGATCGGGGCCTTCGCGGAGTAGAGGGAGGAGAGCAGGAAGGTGCTGCTTTCCTTGTGCTGCTGGGGCAGGGACAGAGACTCGCTTGGGGAAGGACACACCCGGGGGATGGTGCGAAGGTTCTCGAGGGGACCGGAGCCTGGTGCTCACTTTACAGATGAGAATGCCGCCAGCACCTGCATGCACACAGGTGCACCTAGCAAGGAAAAACCCCTTCCCGCAGGGCTCGCTCTGCAGGGGTTGGGAGAGACAAGCTAATTGAAATGCGAACACTTTGCACGTTGGAAGAGGAACTCAGAATGGGGTGGAGGACAGAAGGCAGTGGTGGCTGTGACGCCCACACTGGCCTTGATAATCTAGGCAGAGGCCTGCAAGGAAGATGGGCCCACAGCAGGGCAGGGGTGTCGGGAGCCTGGAAATGAGATCACTGCGGGCTTGAGCAGGCGGTGACCTGGCCGACCTTTATTTTATTTATTGAGACAGAGTCTTGCTCTGTCCTTCAGGATGGAGTGTGTGGTGCGATCTCAGCTCGCTGCAATCTCTGTCTCCTGGGTTCAAGTGATTCTTCTGCCTCAACCTCCCGAGTAGCTGGGATTACAAGTGGCTGCCAGCACGCCTGGCTAATTTTTGTGTTTTTAGCAGAAACGGGATTTCGCCATGTTGGTCAGGCTACTCTCAAACTCCTGACCTCAGGTGATCTGCCCACCTTGGCCTCCCAAAGTGCTGGGATTACAGACATGAGCCACCACGCCCAGCCCTGGCTGACCTTTTAAATGGACCCCCCCGCTGCTGTGAAGGACAGACTGAGGCGGCGCCTGGAGGGGAGCAGTGGTTAAACAGGAGGCGGTCCGGGGAGATGCAGGTGGGAGACGGTGGTGGAGGAACAGGGTGGGCTGGGAGGTGACCTGAGAGGTCCTGGAAGTCACCAAGCCCTTACTGGGTTCCAGCGCTTGACCAAGGGCTTCTGCTTCTTCTCATCAAACCTTTACCATGATTCTCGGAAGTTCCAGGCGGATGCTCTGCAGTTTGAGAAGGTTCTCTCTATGCCTATTATGTTTGCATTTTTATCAGGGTGGCTGTCAGGTCCTACCTGGTGTTTTCCCAGCACCAGCTGGTGGCACTGTAAGCCGCCTTCATGCCGAACACCTGCTCTCCCTCCTGCTGTGAGCCTGGCATTGGGCCACGTGCTGGGTATCAGGTGCCTATGTGAACAGCTCCCAATAAACCCTTGGGCACTGAGTCGCTAGTGAGCTGCCCTGGTACAGAACACGTCACACGTGTTGTCGCTGCTGGTTTAAGGGAGAATTAAGTCTGTCCTGTGTGTCTCCCCTGGTGAGGACTCCAGAAGCTCCTGCCTGGAGTCCTCCAGATACAGCCCAGGCACCTCTTCGCGTGGCTGATCTCGCTCTGCATCCTTTTGCTGAATGTAGCTTAGCTCTGAGGGTGGCTCTGTGCTAGACCTGGTGACTCTTCCTGGGGAATCATCAAACCCGGGGGCCCCGATGCAGCCGCAGCCCCACGTCCTCTCCAGCAGGCATCCCATCTGCCTCCTCCCGGGTGTGTCCCACATGCCTGGGGATCTTACTTTGAGCCAATACCCAGCCCTCAGTTGCTGGAGCATCAGGCACCCGGCTAATGTCCTTACCAAGACCTCACGCAGTGGGGAGCAGGAGGCCCCAGGGGAATCCTGATACTACTAGGAGGAGGAAGGTATGTGGATGGACCCCCTTTAAAAGCACTGCCAGGCTGGGCGAGCTGGCTCATGCCTGTAATCCCAGCACTTTGGGAAGCCGAGGTGTGTGGATCACCTGAGGTCAGAAATTCAAGACCAGCCTGGCCAACATGGTGAAACCCCGTCTCTACTAAAAATACAAAAATTAGGTGGTGGCACACAGCTGAGGTTCCAGTTACTGGAGGGGCTGAGGCAGTAGAATCGCTTGAACCCAGGAGGTGGAGTTCGCAGTGAGCAGAGACTGAGCCACTGCACTCCAGCTTGGGCAACAGAGCGAGACTCCATCTCATAAAAAAAAAAAAAAAAAAAAAAGCGCTGCCATCCATGAATAGCAGCATGGCACAAAACAGAAGCCACTAGAGAGAGTATTGTGGGATGCTCATTTTATGTAAGAAGAAATGGAGGCTCAGAGAAGGGGCAACTGCCAAGGGTGAGTGACCCAGTGCGAGGAGCTGGCTTCCGTTCTGACTGCAGGTTCTAGCCCGTCACCAACTCACTTCTCGCCAAGGGCTTCACTTGCACAACTGCAGTCTTTCAACGGTCGTGGGAGACACAAACCAGTCCCCATTTTACAGATACGAAAAAGGAGGCTTGGGGAACTCCTTGGTCAGAGGCCACAGAGGCCTCCCAATGGGACTCTGTGCTCTGCAAAGAAGGGAATCTGGGGACCGGGCACCCTTAAAGAATCTGCATCCAATATCCATAAAAATCCAGCAGGAGGCCACCAGGAGCTGAGCTCCACGCAGAGAGGAAGCACCAGCACCCTGGGTGAGTGAGGCCAAGGTCACAGTCGGTCCCCAGGAGAGCCGGCAGCTGGCCCAGGGCCCAGATGGGCCTCTGGCTCAAGCCCAGCAGAGGCTGTGTCCAGTAGGCCTTGAGGTCTGCGCGGGAGGCCCGTCCCTCACCCCCCAGGGCAAGAACAAGAACTGTTGACAGTGGAGCAGGGACATCTCTGCGGTGCTTTAAAGGCACACTTGTTATTTTTTGTTTAGCTAGTGGCAGCATGTGTGCCTTGGAATCTAGATGTTTCTGTATTCCCAAGGGAACCCAGGCTCAGGTTTTAGGCTGGAAAACAAGAAAACCGCAGATGGTAATTATCCCCCAGGATCACAAGTCAAAGCCTGCTTTAGGTCAAGAATCTCCACCTTCGTGCCTGTCTGTGTGGCACACCCTCTCCAGGAACAGCCTCGCAACTTTCCCTGGGACCTCCCCTTCCCCACCGCACCTGGTCCTGGCGAGGATATTCACATCAGTGAATAAAATGCTAATTTTAGTGGGGGGCTGACAGACAGTTCTCACACATCAGTGTGCCTCAACATTTGGAGAGTGTGTTAGAGCACACACTCCTGTTAGAGCACACGCTCCTGTCAGCCCAGCCCGGCGGCTCACACCTGTAACCCCAGCACTGTGATAGGCCAAGGCGGGAGGGTCACGAGACTGCATCTCTACAAAAATAAAAATAAAAAAAATTAGTCGGACGTGGTGGTGCATGCCTGTGGTCCCAGTTACTCAGGAGGCTGAGGCAGGAGGCTTAAGCCCAAGAGGTTGAGGCTGCAGTAACCTGGGATTGTGCCACTTAACTCCAGCCTGGGCAACACAGCGAGATTCTGTCTCTCAAAACACACACACACACAAAAGAACACAACCTGTGCTTCCTCTAGACATTCTGACTTGGCAGGTGCAAGGCAGAGCCAAGAATCTCATGCCAGCAGGCTCCCAGGTGCCGCTGATCCCGATAGTCCGTGGTTTTGTAAGGGCATCTGCTGTGTTGCTGGCTCGGCCTCCATCCTCCTGCCTCCTGGGTCCAACGTTCTTGTTTTCCTTGGGAGCCCATCCCCGACTCCCATTCATGGGGGTCCAGAGACAGGAGTGGGTGGGGACCTGGGCGTGGCCTCTCAGAACATCCTTGTCACTGGCTGCAGCAATTGGGCCAGGCATGGGCATGTGACTCAAGACCAGCCAATGAGATCCAAGGAGTTTTTTTTTCCTAGGACGTATTTAAAGAGATTATTTCCGTGGCTGGGCAAAAGTCAGCTGTGCCCCACAGCAGGTGAGGGCCCTCCTGAGAAAGTGTCCACATGGGAGGACAAAGCCAAGAAGGGGAGAAATCAAGGCCCAAGCCAATTTCAGGGCATCTGAATGTAGCTGTACCTGAAGCCCAGTTAACCCCTGTACTAATAAGCCTCTTTTTAAAATCAGTTTAAGTTCCTATCACTTGCTTCCAAGAGTCCTGATACAAGCAAACAAATAAAAGTGGCCAGGTGCGGTGGCTCATGCCTGTAATCCCAACACTTTGGGAGGCTGAGGCAGGTGGATTGCTTGAGGTCAGGAGTTCGAGACCAGCCTGGCCAACATGGTGAAACCCCATCTCTACTAAAAAATACAAAAATTGACCGGGCATAGTGGCTTACGCCTGTAATCCCAGCACTTTGGGAGGCCGAGGCGGGTGGATCACCTGAGGTCAGGAGATCGAAATCAGTCTGACCAACAGGGAGAAACCCCATCTTTACTAAAAATACAAAAGTAGCCAGGCGTGGTGGTGCATGCCTGTAATCCCAGCTACTCGGAAGGCTGAGGCAGGAGAATTGCTTGAACCTGGTAGGCGGAGGTTGCAGTGAGCCGAGATTGTGCCTTCGCACTCCAGCCTGGGTGACAAGAGTGAAACCTGGTCTCAAAAAAAAGTAAAAATACAAAAATTAGCTGGATGTGGTGGCAAGCACCTGTAATCCCAGCTACTGGGGAGGCTGAGGCAGGAGAATCGCTTGAACCTGGGAGGTGAACGTTGTGAGTCGAGATCACGCCACTGCACTCTAGCCTGAGCGACAAAGTGAGACTTAGTCTCAAAAAAAAATAAAATAAAAGTGACTAAATTGGCCAGGCGCAGTAGCTCACGCCTGTAATCCCAGCACTTTGGGAGGCAGAGGCGGGTGGATCACCTGAGGTCAGGAGTTCGAGGCCAGCCTGGCCAATATGGGTAAACCCTGTCTCTACTAAAAATACAAAAATTAGCCGAGTGTGGTGGTGCACACCTGTAGTCCCAGCTACTGGGGAGGCTGAGGCAGGAGAATTGCTTGGACCCAGGAGGCGGAGGTTGCAGTGAGCTGAGATCGCACCACTGCACTCCAGCCTGGGCGACAGAGTGAGACATTGTCTCAAAAACAAACAAACAAACAAACAAACAAAAAACAGTGACTAAACTGAGAACAAAGAAATGG